CAGCCTCTGTCAGGCAAAAGGGGAAGAGCAGGCTTGGGGAGTCAGGGTCCCAACTGTTTCCAGGTTCTGCCATCACTGGCCTGATGGTCTTTTCATTGATCACCCTCATGGGTATAGTGAGAATGACTGTGAAGGTCTTTCCAGCTCAAGGTCTCACATGTCCGGCAGCCCTGACTGTCTGGAGCATCCCCTCCCTTATTTAGTGTCACTACTCAGGGCTGAGCAGAGAAGGAAGGTGTCAGGTGTCAGCGCCCTGTAGGGACAATCACCACTTCCAGCCTCGGGTCACATGGTGTTGTCACTGCCATCCTAGCCACCTTTGCCACATGCCTTCTGCGCTGTCCAGCCTCTGTGCCCCCAATTCCTCTGTAAGAGCCCTGCATGGGCAGAAGTTGAGGTGGGGGAGCTTTTGAAAAAAAAAATGACATTTCAGTTTGTTCACCTGTATTTGAACATTGTGATGACCAGTGACACTTTGTGCTTCCATTTCTCCCTTTTCTTTGGCATTTCAGTGGGCATTTTCCCACTGGCCAACTCTGCCCCAGAGGGGAGACAAGGGAGTCAGGGCTGCCTCTCTGGGGGGCTGACTAATATCCTGCCTCAGGCTCAGCCCATCTTCTGGAAACTAATGATTTGCATTCTGCCCAAATGCAAATAAAGTCCCTCCCATCACAGGGTCAGTGTGACATCCAGCATCTCATCAACTAAATCAGTGCAGAGGAGGCTCCTTGACAGCATCTGTGCAATGAAGCTCTCTGTGCTCAGCTACTCGTGGACTAAGGGCTGTGATGTAAAGGGACAGTTTCCTGCCCCACAAGCCCTCAATGTGGATATGTTGGAGGGACAAAGGGCAGCTTGCAGACACATTAAAAAAGGAGTAATGGAGGGCCTCCCTGGTGGCGCAAGAGGTTAAGCCTCAGCACAATGAAGCAGTCTGCAGCCACTGCAGCATAAGTTTCAATCCCTGGCCAGGGAGCTGACCTACATGGTGCAGCAGACCTCTCCTGTCTCACCCACTGCTCCCCTCAGCAGTGTATCTCAGTCAATCCACCTGTTTGCTTCCCCACTCTGTCTCTGGTGAATCCTCTCACCCCCTGCACCTCTGGCCTGTACCCCAGTTCTTGCCTGCATAATACAAAGAAAACCTTTAAAAGAAAAAGGAGAAATGGAAGCACAAAGTGTCACTGGCCGTCACAATGTTCAAATACAGCTGAGCAAACTGAAATGTCATTTTTTTTTTTCAAAAGCTCCCCCACCTCAACTTCTGCCCCAAGAATCTGTTCCCTTTTGCCTCATTAGAAAAATTTCACATTTGTAGGAACATTCTTCAATAGTCTTCGGATGACATGACATGAGCCTCTCCAGTCAGGTGACCACACGCAGGGCTCTTACAGAAGAATTGGGGACACAGAGGCTGGACAGCGCAGAAGGCATGTGGCAAAGGTGGCAAGGATGGCAGTGACAACACCCAGTGTCCTGGGGCAGCAGGGCCAGCCTCCAAGCCACAGGGGCCAGTGTACAGCCGTGGGGGCGGTGGTGGTGTGAGCAGGGACGCTGTGGCCAGTGGAGGGGCAGTGGCTCCTGGGTGAGCCCCGACATGGTGTGGGTGGGGGTATTCTGTGCTAGAATGTGTAGCCATGTTCTGTTCTGTGGCTTTCCCTGGAAAAAATAAGACTCCCCCCTTCACATATACACACCCCTTTCTGTATCTGCATATGTACACATCACATCTATTATACATGCAATAGAATATAGTTATCACACACATACATAATGCGTATTAACTCCTTTAGCAAATTTCAATTAGAAAAGACTGGATCCTGGGCTTCCCTGGTGGTGCAAGGGGTTAAGATGCAACCTGTGAAGCTGTCCACAACTTCTGCAGCAAGAGTTCGATCCCTGGCCAGGGAGCTACCCACATGGCGCAGCAGACCTCTACTGGCTAGCCCGCTGATCCCTTCAGCAGTGTATTTCAGTCAGTCTGCCTGTTCAGCTCCCCACTCTGTCTCTTGTTAATCCTCTCCGCCGCCCCCCCCCGCCCCCCTGGCCTGTGCCCTGGCTCTTGTATACATAAATAAATAAAATCTTTAAAAAAAAAAAAAAGGGCCTCCCTGGTGGCGCAAGGGGTTAAGCACCACACTATGAAGCAATCCACAGCCTCTGCAATATGAGTTCGATCCCCAGCCGGCCAGGGAGCAACCCACATGGCGTAGCAGACCTCTCCTGACTTGCCCGCTGCTCCCCTCAGCAGTGTATTTTGGTCAGTCAGCCTGTTCTGTTACCCACTCTGTCTCTGGTGAGTCCTCTCACCCCCTGAATCTCTGGCCTGTACCCCAGCTCTTGTATGCATAAATAAATAAATCTTTAAAAATTTTTAAATAAATAAATAAGAAAAAGAAAAGATTGGATCCTAAATTTATATCAAGTGAAAAATCCATCTAAGGGTAATAACATGAATTTCATTTACACTGACCTGATACCCACACTTCCTCATGTCCACCTGGATATGCCTCCTGAGAAAGAAAACAAAATAGATCCCCCCCCAAGCATACACCCCAGATGCTCACAGCTCCCTGATCACTGACATCAGGGTGTCCCAATCCGGCTGAGCTCCAGGATGCATGTAGGTGTATTACAAATACTCGGGTCTCACCCAGACCCAGCAGCTCAGAGTGATGAACAGGGAGCCGGGAATCACTTCCTCAACAAGCCCTGCAGGTGAGGCTGACGCACAGCCAGGTGGGAATCCTGGTCTCCTTCTGCTGCTAAAAGTGTGATCTAGGGCCTCTCTGGTGGCGCAACGGTTGAGCACTGGGTTGCGAAGCTGCCCGCAGCCTCCGCGGCGCCGGTTCGATCCCCGGCTGCTCCCTGGCCACCGGAGGAGGGTCCCGCATGATGCACAGACCTCTCCTGCCGCCCGCTGCTCCCCTCAGCAGTGTACTTTGGTCCTTCTGCCTGCTCTGCTCCCCGCTCTGGCTCTGGTGAATTCTCTCATCCTCCCGCGCTTCTGACTGTACCCAGTGCTTGTATAAATAAATAAATAAATCTTTGGGGGAAAAAAAAATCAAAATAAATAAATAAAATAAAAGTGTGATCTAAAGACCAGCACATCAGCAACAGCATTGTGAGCAACAGCAGTAACTGGCTTTCCAAATAAGGTCACATACTTTCTTTTTTTATCTAAAAGATTTATTTATTTATGCATACAAGAACTGGGTTACAGGGCCTCCGCAGCCTCTGCAGTGCCGGTTTGATCCCAGCCGGCCGGCGAGGGTCCCACATGGTGCGGCAGACCTCTCCTGTCATGCCCGCTGCTCCCCTCAGCAGTGTACTTCAGTTCTTCTCCTGTTCTGTTCCCCACTCTGTCTCTGGTGAATCCTCTCACCCTCTCACGCATCTGGTCTGTACCCCGGTTCTTGTATAAATAAATAAATCTTAAAAGAAAAAAAAGGAACTAGGTTACAGGCCGGAGGTGCAGGGGGTGAGAGGATTCATCACAGACAGAGTGGGGAACAGAACAGGTGGATTGACTGACTAAACATACTGCTGAGGGGAGCAGTGGGTGAGACGGGAGAGACAGGAGAGGTCTGCTGCACCATATGGGTAGCTCCCTGGCAGGCCAGGGATTGAACTCGTGTTGCAGAGGCTGTCCATAACTTCACAGTGCTGTGCTTAACCCCTTGCGCCACCAGGGACGCCCCCACTAGTGTTGTTATAAACACAGACTCTCAGGCTCTTTTCTAGAATGTCTGAATCTTCCTGAGCATCCAATCTTGTTGAGCATCCTCAACACTGGGTGGTCCAGGGTTCAGTCTCGCTCCTTCTCTTCCTTAGTCATCACTCCCTGGGGGACCCTTCCCAGTTCAAGACTTCAAATATCATTTACGTACATCACCTCCCAAATCTATTTCTCAGCTCAGACATTCCATCTGCCCTGCAGACATGTCTGTCCAATGACCAAAATCACGTGTTTCTAACAGATCTCAGCTTCAGCTTTTCTGAATTGACTACCTAGGATGTCACATACATGGTTCTCCAGATCTTCCCCATGTGACTTCAGGCTCACCATATCTCTACTTAGAGTCTGGAATGTTCAGTGTCATCCTGACCCCTCTGTCTCATAACACAGAGGTACCATTAGGAAATGCTGTAAATCCATCTCTAAATATGTCCAGATCCAGTGACTTACTATTTTCCTGCACACCCCTCAACAAAACTAAACTCTGTGTCTTGGAATCTTTCCTGGCTTCCCACATTTATCTTCCCACCTCTCAACCTTCGCCAGTTGCTTCTCCACAGCAGCCAGACTGAGGCTTCTAGTCACACAGGTAGATCTCTGTTCAGAAAAGTCTGTAACCCACATCTTACTCAGAAAAGTCAACCACTCCAGTATCCTTGAGGTCTGCATGATGTGGGTGCACAGATATCAACTAAATTACCCTCTGCTCTGTCACATCAGCTTCCTTGCCTTTCCCAGACACACAAGACATTCCTGCTTGTGTGCATCTGTGCTGGATGTTGCCCTGCCTAGAAAAGAACTTTCCTGGATATCCTCATGGACATTCCCATCCTTCAAATCTTTTCTCAAAGACCAACTTCTGTGTGACGTCAACACTGACCAATACAGGAAAATAGTCATCCTCCCTGTCCCCACACACTGACTCTGGATCACGTTCCCCAAAACTTTTTTAAAAAAGATTTATTTATTTATGCATACAAGAACTGGGGTGTATGCCAGAGGTGCAGGTGGTAGGGAGAGGATTCACCAGAGAGAGAGTGGGGAGCAGAACAGGCAGATTGACTGAAATACACTGCTGAGGGGAGCAGTGGGCTAGACTGGAGAGGTCTGCTACGCCACTTGGGTCAGCTCCCTGGCCGTGGATAGAACTCTGTGCTGTAGTGGCTGGCAGTAGCTTGATAGTGCTGTGTCTTTAACCCCTGCACCACCAGGGAGGCCCTCCCCCAAACTCTTAACAACTGCTTAACAAACACCTCCCTTATTCACACATACTATATATAGTCTCCTCTTCCCACTAGGAGATACCACTCCACAGGCTGGCAAGTTTGGCTCATTTTTAGTTCCTTGAGGTTTCCTAGATGTACAAATATTGTGTCAATTATCTGCCACACAATAAATATCAATTCAAGGAATGATCACGCGTAGACCACCTCCCTATTATAAAGACAGTATCTTTACTAATGTGGCCTCAGGCCACATGCCACTCACATCTCTATTCACAGTGAATTCAGTGCTCTCACAGCTTCCCTCCCAAGTGCTGTCCTCTCTGATCCATCTACCTCTCCCTCCCACACCAGCCCTCCTGTACACAGTATATTTCTCTCTTCAGAGAAGAGAACCCGGGCCTCCCCGGTGGCGCAAGGGAAGGGTCCAGGTGGGCTATGTAGCTATCGGCTGCCACTGCAGCATGAGTTTGATCCCTAGCCAGGGAGCTACCCACATGGCACAGCAGACCTCTCCTAGCTCACCCGCTGTTCCCCTCAGCAGTGTATTTCAGTCAATCTGCCTGTTCTGCCTCCCCCTCTGTCTTTGGTGGGTCCTCTTACCCCCCACACCTCTAGCCTATACCCCAGTTCTTGTATGAATAAATAAATAAATCTTAAAAGAAAAGAGAACCCTAGGTTTATGGGTCCTACTTTTCAGCCATCTGTGAATGTAACCTAGACTATCACCCTATGAGTCTGGGACCAAAGCAGCACTGGGATAACCAGACCTGAGGGCAGGGAGAGGAGGCAGTTGCAGAGAAGACAGAAACCCAACAGGACCTTATCTAGGAGGAGGAATTATCTGACCGTACTCTCTACTAATACCAGGATTTGGTTCTTTTAAAAAGATAGGAATAACCCGTAAAACAATCCTAGAAGGAGTTCAAAAACTGGATGCATCTGAACTAATATCTAACCAGACTTCTGTGAGCAGGGGCTTCCGTGGGACTTGTGGGGACAATGTCAGTTGCCTCTGGCTGCTGTCAGAGACTGGACACCCAGAGGACATGATGCCTGGTCTCTAAACATGAAAGAGAACAGGTGTGATCCTATAAAAACCAAAGAACTAAAATATTAACACAGAGTATGAGGACTGAGGGACAAACCATGGCTTTAGCCTAGGCTGACCTGGCCACACACAGCCTCCACCCACATTCCTGGAGATAGGAATGTCTGGTCCATTCCTGGAGACAGGAATGTCTGGTATTTGAGTCCCTGTGATCACAGGTCCTGCTGGGACAGGTGCTACTGACGGATAAGGACAAAGGAGCAGAAAGATGACCCCTGAGGAGTGAGCACGTCAAAGCACCTACTAGAGACAGGCCCTGTCCCCCTCGGCTCCTCACAATCTCTCCTTTCCCCACCTACACAGACTCAGCACAGCAAATATGCAGTTCTGGAAGTGGCTCATGTCTTGCATTCATTTCCATACCAAGTTTAGGAATATATTTGTTAACCCATCAACCTCTCATTAAAAATAGAAAAAATAATTTCATATTTTCATCATTGTTTTCAGGAAGGAGGTTTCCTCGGAAAACACAAAGTTCAGTCAGGAATGCATCTAGCCCAGCCTACTTCTGCTAAACAGGATAGTCATCAGGGGCAGAATATAGGTCAGTGTGGGGAGGGTCCAGGGGGGAAAACTAGGCTAGATGCCCCATCTCATCACCTTATGCTAATAGGAACACAGACACATGTACATGCCCTTTACAAGAACGGAAACCAGTGGATCTTGAAGTCACAATGTGGAAACAAGAAGAAACCCTGAATCACTCAGTCCATACAAGGCAGCTGGCTCACACTGTGAAGGAAAGAATTATAAAAAATTTCAAAGAAACACATAAGTGTTGACATTCTCCATAGTCCACCGCATCCTCAGAATGTCCCCCTCACAGCTTCCCCATAGCCTGGTCCCATCCTCTCTGCCCCAGTCCCTCCCACCCCAGGCCTCCAAGGTCTCACCTTTAGTGACTGAGAGACACATCAGAGCCCTGGGCACTGTCGCTGCCTGGGAGAGAACAAAACAGAATCTGGTCAGAGCCATGAGATGAGACAGAAGGACTGAGGTGGAATGACTCCCCCATGGGCTCCATCTACACTGTCCTCAGCGTCTCAGGGACCAAACCCTGATCCACACTTACTTGCAGCCCAAGTATAGTTTTGTCCTCTTTCACCTGTGGCAAGAAAAATCATGTGAGACCAAGGAGAAGTCAGCCCATGAAGTCCTAAAGAAATTCCCCAGTCCTGAACCACAGGGAAGTTTTCAGAACTGTTACTGAAGATACAAGGGTAGGGTCAGGAAATATGAAGGAAGGAGATGAGTAGGGAATGGACCAACCATGGAATGGTGGTCAGAACACTGCCCTCTTTCTGGTCAGGAGGAACGCTTGGGTTTGTCCTCAGTACGGACCTCCCCTCTGACATTTGCTGGAATCAGGGCCCATCACCAGAATTATCAAGGTGAAAAATTTGTGACTGATTTTCTTAAGTGCTTCAAAAAAACATTAAGGGCTAGCAATCAGCTGCAGACTGGACAACACACGTGTGTGGCTGGCACTTCCCATTAACCAGGTAGGGCAAGTTTTAACTGGGATTTGAAAGCCCTCAGGGAACAAGATCACCCCACTCGCTTCCTTACCCGAGCACTTCCTCCACATCACAGGTAATACCACCATAGCTCCAAGGAGAACCAGGCCAGCAATGATGCCTGCGGTGGGGATGGAGGACTGAGGAGGGAGCACTGGAAGGGAAGGGAAAGTCATACCCTGAGCCCCAGGTCTCCATCCTGACCCTCTGAAGGTCTCCAGAAGGGCTCCTGATCCCCCAAGAGGCTATGTGCCCCCATCTCCCTCCTTACCCCAATTCAGGACTTGGGGCTCCTGCAGCCCCTCATGCTGCACATGGCAAGTGTATCTCTGCTCTTTTCCAGAAGGCACCTCCACAGCCACCCACTTCTGGAAGGTTCCATCCCCCTGGGGCCTGGTTTCCACCAGCTCTATGTCATGGGTCAGGTCCTCCCCATCTCGCTGCCAGGTCAGGGTGATGTCTGCAGGGTAGAAGCCCAGGGCCCAGCACTTCAGGGTGACCTTCTGGTCAGAGGTGGGGTGGTGGGTCACCTGTGTCTTTGGGGCATCTGAGAAGAAGGGTCAAAAAATTCACACTTTGGGTTTTTCCTTCATGGAGACTGAAGTGGCCTCATGCGACCATCCTCAGTCTAGACATCAATGGTTTTAGAAGGCAGAAGCACAAAATCTAGAGACTGCCTAGTGTGGGGATTCTGCGATAATGTCGTAATCCTTAGAAAGTTCTAGAATCAAGGTTAGAGCACAAGGGAGGAGGATGCAGGTCTCTGGGAAGGAGAACATAGACATTTTCTCCTGACCTAGGTGGAGGAGCGTGAATGACTCAGAAAAGCAGGAGTCAGATTCTAAAATGTTCTCATATTGAAAACAAGACCTTGAGGGCCTCCTTGTTGGTGCAAGGTGTTAAGCATCGCACTATGAAGCAATCTGAAGCCTCTGCAGCACAAGTTCAATGCCCCGGGGCCAGCCAGGGAGCAACACACAAGGCAAAGCAGACCTCTCCTGTCTTGCCAGCTGCTCCCCTCAGCAGTGTATTTCAATCAGTCTGCCTGTTCTGTTCTCTTTCTCTGGTGGGTCCCCTCACACACACAGCCCCCCCACCATCTCTGGCCTGTGCCCCAGCTCTTGTATGCATAAATAAATAAATCTTTAAAAAACAAAAAAACAAAAACAAAAAACAAGACCATGAGAGAGAAACCTTGCATTGACTACCCAGTCAAAAGAATCCACTGAAGAGTACTTTCAGGGATTACCTCCCCCCATTTCAGGAAAGACTGGATTCCTTAACTATTCATCAGAAAAGATATGGTTGGGCCTCCCCGGTGGCGCAGCGGTTGAGCGTTCGGTTGCGAAGCTGCCTGCAGCCTCTGCAGCACCGGTTCGATCCCCAGCTGCTCCCAGGCCACGGGAGGAGGGTCCCACATGGCGCACAGACCTCTCCTGCCGCCCGCTGCTCCCCTCAGCAGTGTACTTCGGTCCTTCTGCCTGCTCTGCTCCCCGCTCTGGCTCTGGTGAATTCTCTCACCCTCCCGTGCTTCTGACTGTACCCAGTGCATGTATAAATAAATAAATAAATAAATAAATCTTTAGGAAAAGTCAAATACTCCTCCCAACCAGAAAGAGGGCAGTGTTCTGACCATTATTCCATTTTCTCCCTTTAGTGCCAACCTGAGGGGAAGGCAGGGGACCTCCAAGCCCTCCTACCTGGTCCTGCAGCATCTCCTTCCCGATCTCCAGGTGTCTGAGCAGCCACTCCACGCACGTGCCCTCCAGGTAGTTCCTCTGGTCATCGGCTCCTCCGGCCGCCTCCCACTTGCGCCTGGAGATCTGAGCGGCCGTGTCCGCCGCGGTCCAGGAGCGCAGGTCCCCGTTCAGGGCGATGTAATCGGCGCCGTCATAAGCATACTGAGTGTACCCGCGGAGGAGGCGCCCGTCGGGCCCCACGTCGCAGCCGTGCATCCCCTGGAGGGTGTGAGAGCCTGTCCCCGCCCGTCACCCCGCGTCACCCCGCGGTCACCCCGCCCCCCTCCACGGGAATAAACCGAAACTGACGCGGGAACCCCGCGGGGAACGTCCCGGGGCTCGTCCCGGGTCGAGGGTCCGGCGGGTCCCCCTGCCTCGGGGGACGCTCGGGCCGGGGTCTGGGGTCCCGCCCGCCCGCGGGGGTGGGGTCGTGAGCGCCCCGGGCCGCCCCGCTCACCGGCCGCGCTCTGGTTGTAGTAGCCGCGCAGGGTGCGCAGACCCTCTTGGTAATACTGTATGTTTTCCTTGGAGATGCGGGTCTCCACGTCCCAGTACTCCTGTCCCAGCTGCTCCGCCCAGGGCGCCCGCGGCTCTGCCCTCCCACTCTCTGCGTGGCTGTCCAACCGCTCGAACTGCGTGTCGTCCACGTAGCCCGCCTCCAAGTACCGGGGCTCCCCGAGGCCGGGCCGGGACATCGCGATGTAGAAATATGTCAGGGAGTGGGAGCCTGGGGGCGGGAGGGAGACCCGGGCTGACCCTCCTCCCGCGCGGGTCCCGGGGAGTTGGGATCCAAGGGCAGGAGGGCGGGGAGCGCGTGAGATGGATAAGGGGCGGCGGGGCCCAGAAGGGCCGAGAGGCGGCGGGGGGCTGGGGGACAGCACGGGACCAGGACAAAGCGGGGCCGAGGGGGGACAAACGGCCAGGGGGCAGCGGAGATGCGCCTCTCCCGGGGCCCTGTTCCCCCGCCTGGGGTCCGCTGGCTCCTCCCGCCGCTGGCAGCCTTTGCCCTCCCAAGCCCGCGCTCACCCGTGCTCGCCTCCGACGGGGCCAGGCCCCCTCCCCCGCAAAGCAGCAGCAGGAGGGCTGGGAGACTCATGATCCGCCGCCTAGCGGAGTCCAGGCGGATGGGTGGAGACTTTGCTCCCGGAAGCAGCGACGGTGTTGATTGGCTGCTCTGGAAGCCTCCTTGCAGTGGGGAGTGAGAACTGGGCTGAGTCACCAGTATCCAGGAAGGAGGGCCCGACCTAGGTTGTGGATTCTGTTTTTTTTTTTAAGAACATTTTTTTCCCCCCAGATTTATTTATTTGTTTATACAAGCACTGGGTACAGTCAGAAGCGCGGGAGGGTGAGAGAATTCACCAGAGCCAGAGCAGGGAGCAGAGCAGGCAGAAGGACCGAAGTACACTGCTGAGGGGAGCAGCGGGTGGCAGGAGAGGTCTGTTATGCCATGTGGGACCCTCCTCCGGTGGCCGGGGAGCAGCCGGGGATCGAACCGGCGCTGCCGAGGCTGCGGGCAGCTTCGCAGCCCAGCGCTCAACCGCTGCGCCACCAGAGGAGACTCTGTGGATTCTGTTTTGAAACCTTTTCTACCTGCTGTTATTAATAAAACGAATCCAATTTCCCTATGCTTTCTATCTTTATATTATATGTTTCCAGCAATTTTCTTTCAAGGTGTCTTTATATTTAAAGCCCATCTCTTGTAAGCAGTATATAGTTAGGGTTTTTTCTAAAACTGTGTTGACAAATTCTGCCTTTTATTTTTTTAATTAAAAGAATCGAAACTGGAGGGCCTCCCCAGTGGCGCAGCGGTTGAGCGCTGGGTTGCGAAGCTGCCTGCGGCCTCTGTGGCGCCGGTTCGATCCCCGGCTGCTCCCCGCCAACTAGAGGAGGGTCCCACATGGCGCGCAGACCTCTCCTGCCACCCGCTGCTCCCCTCAGCAGTGTACTTCGGTCCTTCTGCCTGCTCTGCTCCCCGCTCTGGCTCTGGTGAATTCTCTCACCCTCCGGCGCTTCTAACTGTACCCAGTGCATGTATAAACAAACAAACAAAACAAAATAATAATAATAAATAAATGAAAACATGCCTCTATTAAAAAAAAAAAAAAAAGAATCGAAACTGGAGACTCCCTAGTGGCGCAAGGAGTTAAGACGCAGCACTATGAAGATATCCGCAGTCACTGCAGCATGAGTTCCACCCTGGCCAGCGAGGTGACCCACAAGGTGCAGCAGACCTCTCCTGTCTGGCCTGCTGCTTCTTTCCTTCCAGTTTCTGAAGATAACAACAAAAAATAATCCAAATCGAATTATATAGATTGCAGAACAACAAATAAACAAAAACCCAAACACATGTTTTCAAGGCATTGTGCTCAGATATTCTGGATTTAGTTGAGCTGCTGGTTGAGCTGTTGGATGCAGCCACCTCAATAGCCAGGTGGCCCATTTGGAGTCCATAGTGCAGGAGGTGTCCTGAGTAATAGAAAGGGATCAAGAACCCTGAGATCACCTGGATAAACTTGATCAGGAAGACAAATTCAAGAATGAGATGTTCCAAGCAAATGACACCAAACTTCCCCAGGTGCTCCTCAATCACATTACTATCTGTCAGCGGCATGGCCTTATTCCTGATCTTGCTTGTCCACTTCTCAAGATGATTCCCAGATAGACTTTAGGTTTGGAAATCTCCAGGTCACATAAGATTCCACTACAGGGAGTATTTTTATAGGTTGAGAGGTCACTTTGACAAGCCTCCCAGGTTTTGTGCACACTGAGGTTTGAGGACGGCTAGATGGTGGGCAATCTGCTTGTGTAGAGGAATGTAGGTTGGAAATGATGGTGATTAGGACCTGGAGCACCTGCCATGGCTCCTACCGGCATCAGTGGGAAGATCCGGGGACACGTGGGGAACACAGACCTTCCATCCTCATGAACCACACAATGTGATGCAGGGAGGCTGACATGCCTGTCCCGTCAATGACGCCAATGTGGGGCTAACATGACAGGACCCTGACTCTGGTAATTAACGCACTTCTGAGCAGGTTCTCAGGAGAGGCCATGGGAAATCATGTCCCTGTCAGGGTCACAGGGTCAGCTGTGCTAGGTCCACAGAGGCCACAGAATGGGGCACTTTTCTCTGCAAAAGTCCTGAAAAACAAAAATGGTGGCCTGTTTTTCTGCATTAGTAGAAGTCACCTGCATTTTTTGAAATCCAAGGTCACCTGAAATCCAAGGTCACCTCTGGCATTGGGGATTTTCATGCAGAGTAGTTTGGTTTCTGGGGTGTGAGAGCCCAGAACTGTCCCCTAGTGGCCCTCAGGGCCCAGATCCCCACCTTCTGTAGACTCTTCCCTTTATTCCCAGAGACTCTCCAGCCACCCCAGGCTTCAGTCTCCCTACAGGACAGTGTCACCATCAGGGGTGGGGCCCAGAGGGTGACCTTCTCACACACACACAGGGATCAGTGTCCTGCATCTCAGGATGAGCAAAGGGCCTGCATTAGAGACACTCGGAGTAACAGGTGTCCCATCCTTGGAGAACAGCAGTCTCAGGAAGCAGAGTCCTTGTCTAGGACCAATTCTGCTGCTGGAGAAAGAGACTGAGGGTCAGAACACCCCACAGAAATAGGAACCCCAGTTCCTACCCCTGGGTAGACTCAGAGCAGATCTTGTCAGTGATCCATAGTTCAGATGCCTCCTCTGGAAGCTGGGAAATGCCATTACTACTAATAATTATTATTGAAACAGCTTGAATTCATTATCCTCTCACATACACACAGAGCACCTTTACTGCTCTGGGTGACTCTGGAGGCAAAGGGGAAAGTGTAGCATCTCCTTCCCAGAAGAGAAGTGAGACATGGCAGGGGGGTGGTCTGTAGGGCCCTGGAGGTGACCTTACCCTGTGTCTGCAGTGTCCACGTGGGGAGAGGGGTCTCTAGGCTTCTCTGCCCTTGATGTCCATCCTCACTGTCTGTGACTGCAGAGGCCATTTCTGCCTGATGTGCACGCTCACCCTGCAGCTCACAGATCCTACGTGTCTTCTGTCTCTCTCAGGGTTGAGGGCAATGACTGCTATTCACTAAAAGGACATCATCATATCTTTTAAGAATCTAAGTGATTTCCTTTCAGAGAAATTCAGACTTTCCCCTGATGCTATTTTAAGCCCAGATGCTCTCCCAGCACAGACCTTTAGGCATCTTTCAAGATTTAATTCACAAACATTTATTAACCGTCTGCTGATCCACCAGGAGAAAACAGGAGCGTCTGCGTTGACTGTGGACCCTATGTAGGTTCTTCACACGTGTGCTCACAGGCCTCACCCTGGAGAGCTTCCTCCTGTACCTGTCCTGCGTCCACAGGAGTCTGTCCTGAAATCCCCCTGGCCCTATAACAACAGTGTGTTACGTCACTTCACCACCCAGGACTCCTACAAGAAGGTATCCTTTTGATATTGAAACTTGATTCCTCATTTTCCCTCTGTATTAATAACCTGTTTATTAGGAGGTTTTAAATGTTTGCAGAGCAAACAGAAACCTTCTGTTACTTGGATCCCACATCTTATGACAATATTGTCACCACAGTTTTCTCTCCAGTAATCTCACCAAGGTCATTCTATAAGCCCCTCTGCCGGCTACTCCCTTAAGCCTGTGCACATGGAGCAGCTCTGCTGGTATTTTCACCAGCCCTGGGAGCAGGACACAGGCCCCATCACCAGGAATTAGATCCGGGTCCCTGGAGTGTGGGTATTAGGCTCTGCCCGGCCCCCACAAAATACTCACATGGAGGTGCTGGCAGCCCTGCCTTTTCCTCTACTCTGTGACCTCGTGAAAGTTCCCCTGGCAGGGAGAGAACAGTGGGCTGAATATGGGGGCTCCCCTTCCCTGTACATCCCTCCACCCCAGGCCTGGGGGAGCCAGGGCTGCTCTGAGTCTGTCTGGCCCACATATGTCCTGGGTGCTGGGCTGTGGGGTTGGTGAGGCAGCCCTGTAGGGATGGGAGGCACAGACTCAGACCAAAGGGCAGCTGGTGCTGGAGGGCTTCTGTGAGTTCTAGAAGTGGGCAGTGATCATTTTCTAGAACCAACAGCATGGACACTGAGGGGCAGCGCTGAGAGCCAGAATCAAGTGGTTTGACCCAGAACCAGCCCCATCAGGGCCGCGCTGGCCCAGGACAGTCCTCTCTGGACAGGCTGGTCCTGGCGTCCAGCAGGAGCAGCAGCTGGCACGGACTCTGTGCAGGGGCATCTGCACCCTGGTTTTGCCTTTGGTTTGTTCAGTAAGTCGGTGAGTTCCCACTCTGACAAACTTGAGTTAGATTTTTCATTTTTGTGCAGATGGAGTAAATACTGGTATTCAGTGTCCACACTGAGGCCTACACTCTTTGCAACTGAAGCTGTTCTAGCTCCTGCCGGTGCCCAGCCTGGGGAGCCCGCTTAACGCCCAACACCCAGGACCCTCACCCTGTCTCATCAGGGTTTCTCACCTCCCTGTCACCTCCTGCTCCCCCTGGTGTTAAGGTCACCTCAGGAAGGAGGCCCAGTGGCTCCCAGCTAAGGGGCCCCTCGCTCTATGCTCCCCGAGCCTGTCTCTACCTCACTAAGTGTCTGTGTCTCCTCATTCCCTTTCCCCTCACCCCCTCAGATTTGTCCACGATGTCTCGTCCCGCAGGGACCCCTGACTGGACAGTTTGCCGGAGCTGGCTTCTGGCAATTATGAAAGCTGAAGTCAGCACTTTCTCCCTCTCCCATCTTTTTCTGATTGCACAACATCATTATAGCAACAACAAAAATAATAGAATTTTTACAGTAAAAACCAAAACCCAAAACCTCTAATCCCAGTCACCAAGACAGTACTTCTTTTGCTGTATGCTCTTCCATGTCAATACCAGAGAAACCATCCTGTATACAATAGTGGAAAAAGGCAAGGAGGGAGGGAGGGAAACCAGAGTATGTCCACCTGAGATCCTCTCCCTGTGCACATGGAAGGTTACCTGGGGAGATAGGAAAGCCCCCAAACAAGAAAAAAACAGTAATTTCACCCACTCTAATGTTTCACCTCCCTCCAGGAGCTGAGGTAGACCCCGTTCCATCTCTCCCTCCCTTCCTGGACTGTGGACAAAGGCTCAGCCCAATAACTGGGGTGACATGTGCTAATCCTGCCCCTGGGCCAGGCCAGCAGGGCACAC